ATGACAGAGAATATATTCAAGATGCTTAAAAATCTATCTTTTCTCTTAATATATAATGACTTATTCTTGCTTACGAGTAAATAACATTTCGAGACGAATCCATAAACTTTTGTTTTTGTACTCCCTGTAATGTCTCTGTTGATAAAGAAGAACATGATCCTCCGACAAGTGAAAACGCACAAGATGTCACCATCTTAGAGCATGTGAATGTTTTGGGGACGGTAGATTTTGATTCTGACGGAGTGTAAACAGATACATAAGAAAGAAAGAGACCAAAGGGACTGTTCTTAATTATATTTTTATGTTCGCAAACAGGCCAGATTTACCAATTGATTGGTTCTTTCAGTTGCCATGGGATCCTCCTATTGACCGACAATTCTACTTGGTGTTTGAGTTTATCTGTCTTAAAAATTAGTCTTTAGCCATATTTTATTGTTAATAGTTAATCATGGAACCTCTAATGACACCCTTTAAATCATTGAAAAGGTTTCTGTAGTCTTTTTTATTTTATTTTATTTATATAAAAACTGTCGTTGTGACAGCATTACCAAACAAAAGAAATCAATAATTACAGGGAGAGAATGTGCTGGAGGCAAGCAAAGTAGTGTGGATTTCTTTGGCACTGGGGTCCTACAGTGTGTCTTGGAATATTAAGCTCGTGGTTATGGACTTAATTTAATAATAATAATCCTAAGCAAGAGCATTTCCAAGAAGGAATCAGAATATTCTTTAAACAAATGAAACGTTACTAATGAAGGATTAAGGGGAAGCAAAAAGCCCTATCCTCCTAGGGTTTAAAAATGAGGCAGTAGAGTGAGTGTAGAGGGTTCTAATCTGATAGGCCAAGTCAAGGATCTAGCTTTGCTTCGTGCCCATGCAATCAGAAGATTAAAAGTGAATTGGCAGAGAGGCAATAATTTCCCATTAACAACAAAACAAAACACCAAACGTTAATCATTAAGGAAAGTCTAAACACACACGTCAAGTCTGTCCCAATATCATCTTTCGTTTTTTTGTATTTTTAGGTGCGTACATTATTAGCTTGATAGATTAGGTCACAACCCTAATGATTTTCAGCTACTAACCTTTTTTTTTTCTTGGGGGGTCCGGAATTATATCAGGTACAATAGTTTGTGCAATTTGAACCACATAATTCTGTGGTCTTATTATGTAACTGCAAAAAGAGCTAGAGGTCCAAAACCCAGTTTCGTTTGGCCCATAATTAGGAAAGTTTAGGCCTAAGCTTAGGCTCCATGACCCAAGTTCCATTTTTGTTTTTGGAAAAACGACCCAAGTCCCATTTTAACAGAGGCCCAAATTGTTATTTTTATTTTTTATAAAAAGAAAAAAAAAAAAGTTATTTGAACGATTTGATCAAACCTAGAACCTCATATGTGAAGGATCAGCTACACCATCTTCAACATTGGTGTTGCAGAGACCAAGAATCTGTGAGCAGTGCCTTGAACTCTCTCTCTCTCTCTCTGGTTTACAATATAAGCGATATTAGGAGGGAGGGGAATCAAACCTAGAACCACATATGTGTAGAGATATTGTTTTTAATCACTTAAGTTACAAACCCCTTATTAAGCCTGACTCATCTTCTTTGATAAGGGGCATTTTGATTTGCAATTTCTACTTGTCTTCCATAAAATTTGTGGTTCTTGTGTACAAAGTGTATAATGCAGTTGTACTTCAACTTAGGGAATAGCTCTAAATAAATGGTTCCCCGAGAAACCAAACAAGCTTGGTTGGCTATTGACTTTTGGTTGCGCACATTATGTACAAGGTGGTGGTTAAGGTAGGCACACAAAATCACTTTATTTCAAAGTCATTTTTCGTTAGAGTTTATCGCTAACTATGTAGATCAAAAATGCACTTTACTCTAAATCGTAGATTAAATTTTACATTCAAACCCTTTAAACACCATCATATTACAATCTTCTTATTTTGACAGTGATCAGCTATGTTGTCTTGTTTAATTCAAAATCAACTCTTGGTGAAAAAAGAGAGAATCAAACAGGTTTCCTCTCCTCCCTTAGTCTCTATCGTCTGATATTTGCTTGGCCCCCAAGCTGTCAGTTCACTTTTCAAGCGGGTCACAGATATCCAATACTTTTTTGTCCTTTACTGTTGGGCCCCACTGGACCTGTACCTCTCTTATGCCTATCGGTCCCACTGACCTTACAAAGAAAACGGCCACTCTTGACTCGTGACTGCAAAAGAATTGCAATGACCAAAAATGCTGGGCCGTTTGCATTCAGTCTAATTACATTTTGCTCCATTTGGTCGCAAGTCTTTTGTGGGAGCTGAACTTATCTATACAGGTTGAAATTTCAAGTCAATTATGCATTGTCATACATTTAAATTTTTCGACATAAAGAAGGTGTGTGGAATTTAAAATACAGTCACAATTATATCCTTTACATGAAAATTCATCTCCTCTTCTTTGTTCAAGCAAAACAGAGAGCTACTAATGCTGCACAGCGGAGAGAGACATCTCTGTTGGTCTCGGATTCCTGGGCTTTGTCACTATTCACACTCCCCACACCACCTTTTTTTCTTCTTCCACGCGTCCCAATCGAAGGACAAAAAGGCCCCTCCTATTGTAATTTTGGTTCTGCTTCATTCCTAATTCCCTAGGCAATGCATTGGTATTGGATACTCTGCTGCTCGACAGCTTCTTGCCATTTTTTTGTTTTGCTTTTTATGCTTTTTATTGGACAGGTTGGTCTTTCTCTAAAATAGACCACTTTTTCTTTGGTCTAGTTTTTACCACTAGAACAGGTCATGTAGGGGAAAACCAAGTCCTTCACTACACACACATATACACAGAGAGAGACAGAGAGAGATGGAGAGTTCAAGAGGCACTTCTCACGGATTCTTGGTCTCTGCAACACCAATGCTGAAGATGGTGTGGTTCATCTTTCACCTTCTTTTCCTCTTTTCTTTGGGTGTAACTGGTAAGCAAAGCTTCAACCAGTTCAAATAAATGTTCCATTTTTTTTGGTTAATGTCAAAGTTGTTACTAGTCGCTGCCATTTGGGGTGTTCTTTCTCTCTCTTCTTCTTTTGCTGTCCTACAACGAAGTCCTCGTTTTTGGTTTTTTTTTCTCTGCAGGTGAAGGGGAAGAATCTGTTCAACTCATCAACCTCTATGACACAGTCGCTGGGGTACTTCAAGAATCAATTCACACCGGCCGTCCCCTAGCTGTTTCTGTAAATACCGGAGAGATCACTGAGATATCAAGCTCAGTTTTAATGGCTGAAAGTTTTCTCAGAACCCATGTTCTGGCTCACTACCCTGCCACTCCCATAACCACCATTGTCGTCGGCAACACTGTTCTGTGCCTGAAAGAGCAAGAGCACAACTTGGGTTTGGTCCTACCAGCACTCAAGAACATTTATCACTCTCTTACAAGGTGGGGTCTTGAGAAAGATATCAAAGTCTCAGCTGCTTTCTCTTCCGGCTGTTTAAACCAAAAATCTGGTTTCTATAGAGAGGATGTAGCTGAGAAATTTGTAAGGCCTCTGCTAGAGTTTCTCCGAGGTACAAACTCAACCTACTCTGTGAACCCACCTCCAAAGTTCTCACCTTTACCTGATGAAACCATGAAGTTGGTGTCTTTTCACTCAGAATCCCTAAAAAAGCTTGGATTTTTGGACCTCACCAAGATCAATGTCATACTCAGCAACCCAGAAGAGAGAAAACCCTGGAGCAGAAAGCTCTCTTCTTTCATGGATTCCAGACCTGTAGACCCATTTCCAGCAAGACCAACCCCACTACCAAAAATCTCTGAACCCCCACTTCACTCTTCTATTGGTTTTTCTGTTCCTGCCAACGTAGCCAAGAAACCTCATCCCCCACAACCCCAAATAGTCTCTCCACCACTCCAAGTGTCTTCCCCACAACCCCAAATAGCCTCTCCACCATCACCACAAATGCCTTCCCCAAAAGCCCAAGTAGCCTCACCACTATCACCAAAAATGCCTTCCCCAGAAACCCAAATAGCCTCTCCACCCTCAATGTCTTTCTCTTCAGCCCCAGAAAACCCTCCTTTCGCTGATCAAGCCCCTCCACCTTCTCCTTTCACATTGCCCCCATGTAACCCAAGACATGATGCAGGGGCCCCACCCCCTCAAGTGGGAGTGGTGCATAACAAGCTGTGGTGTGTGGCTAAGCCTACTGTTCCTGCAGACACTCTGCAGGTGGCAATGGACTATGCTTGTGGAGATGGTGGTGCCGATTGCAATGCGATTATGCCGGATGGCAACTGTTACAGTCCTGATTCTGTTGTAGCCCATGCCTCCTATGCCTTCAATAGCTACTGGCAGAAGAACAAGAGGAATGGAGGGACTTGCAGTTTTGGTGGGACTGCCATGTTAATCAACAACGACCCAAGTAAGACTTTTCCTTGTTGAATAGTTTGTGATTTTCCTCTTTTGCAAGCTTGCTTATATGGAGGATTTTTTTTTTAAATTGCAGGTTATCTTCAGTGTCGTTTTGTTCTCACATGAATGCATTAGGAGGGGCAACTCACTCAGACTGTTGGCTGCTTTTCCACGACAGGACTTGAATTTTAGGAAATCTGATTCTAAGGTGACCTTGTAATTTTGTAACCCTTGGATTTTGATACTAGTTTAGCAGTCTGGATTTGAAGAAAAATTATTTAGTTCAAAGTAGTCATCTGGTATCTATGCACAATAGGCAGACTCTTTTGACTTGTAATCCTTGATATGTAACCCTCTTCTTGCTATAATCAGAGATGCAGCTTATGTGTTCATTGTTAGAAGCACTAACAGAACCTAATCACTGATATGGTTTGACCATTTCTGAAATTATTGGGGTGATTAACCAAGGATAAACCAAAGCATACTAAGAAGCTGGAAGAGCTTAATGAAAACTTATGAGGCACAATTTTTTTTATTAAAAAAATTCAATTATAAGGTCACTGATGCTGCTATAAATGACCTGACAAATTGAACAAAATTGGTGCAGAAGAAAAAAAAAGGAAGAGATTATATTTACCATTAGGGATTTTATCAATCAGATTCTCAAAGACAATTGATTTAAGCAAGAGAGTGTACAATGTGCACCGTACAGATACAGAAACCAGAATCATCTGAGCGTGATGTAAATTTGTGGATCTTGAAGCCTCAATGTGGGATCTGACTCGTCCCATTCGCTCTCCGCAACAATTTGAACAATCAAAACTTTGCTTAAGCAGTAAAAGGAGGTGCGGCATATTTACAGTCACCCGAGAATGTGAAAACAGAACTTGAAAGTCATCTGCATTCTTCATTGCTAGTAGTAGTGACTATTGCAGTGGAGTTTCCAATTTCACCATCTGAAGCTTTACTGGGATCTTCACTCTGCAAAAATGCACAGAGATCAGACAAACCAACAGGCGAAAAAGAAATGCATAAATGAAAGTAACTGCCAAGACTAAAACAACAATATTCACTTACTCAAGGAAAAGGTAAAACAGGCAAAAAGCAACTTGAACCTTAGGCCATCTCCAACTCAAGGACTTAAACCCAAAATATTCCCCAAAACCTCTCCCAATCCAAGAAAATGAAGGACCCAAAATTTGGGAAAACCCAAATTTGGACCCAAATATCAGTCCACTTAGGCCTTCCCTCCAACCCATGAGGGGCTAAACCCAAATTTTCCCCCTCCAAAAAGTGACTATTTGGGTTTTGCCCGGACTCAAATTGTTTTTTCTCCCAACCCTCCGGACTCAAATTTTAGGTCCGCAACTTTATTAAATTGTTTAATAATGGTTTAAGTCTATTTTTTTTTTTTTTTTTTTATGAATAACTTTTCTTCATTCAATCTTTTTAAATAACTTCATAATTAAATTATTTGAACAATTTGACCTAAAAAAATTAAAATTCCACAAATATAATTTTATTTCAAAAGAAAACACACAGTAACCCACCCTTTGCACAATGCCTCATCTTCTTCGGGCCTCCAATTCACACCTCTTTGAGGTTTTGTGGACATCTTCAACAAGAATGAAAGGAGATTGATGAGATTGACAAAGGAAAAATAAATTGAGAAATAGAAATAATGTTTTTGGTAGATTAATTGAGAAATGGATGGGTATTTATAGAGTTTGAAGTGAGTTTTGGGGTTGGATCTGATTTGGATTAATTTAAAATATTATTTTGACCGTTGAATTTAAATTTCAGCCGTTGGATCTTTTTTTTAACCGTTAAAATAACTTAGATTTAATCTAGATCGTTAATTTAAAGTTACTATTAGAATTTGAAAAAAAAAAAAAGGGAATAGTTCTTTGCGACGGCACTTTTAAGGTTGGAATGAGCCAACAGCGGGCCCAGCCTTTTAAAGTTACTTCAGATTTGTTTAAAAAAAAAAAAAGTAGCCATTTGAATTGTATGGCTACAAAACCAGGCGCCGACACGTGGCATGGCAGCAGACAAACCCATCAAAAAATGTCAATAGCGCGGGTCCCACCAATTTTCAGAATTACATGGCCTCAGCCACCTCAGCGTGGGGTCCAATAAACAGTATTGGGTCCAGGCAATACTTGGACCCATATTTGGGTCCAAATTTGGGTTTTCCCAAATTTTGGGTCTTTCATTTTGTTGGGTTGGGAGAGATTTTGAGGGATAATTTGGGTTTGAGTCCTTGCATTGGAGATGGCCTTAGGCCTTTTCCAACCCATGAGGGGCTAAACCCAAGTTTCTCCCCTCCAAAAAGTGACTATTTGGGTTTTGCCCAGACTCAAATCGTTTTTTCTCCCAACCCTGCGGACTCAAATTTTAAGTCCGCAATTTTATTTAAATTGTTTAAGTCTATTTTTTTTAATGGATAACTTTTCTTCATTTAATCTTTTTAAATATCATAATTTAATTTTTTGAACAATTGGACCTAAAAAAAATTGAAATTCCACAATTTTTTTTAATGGAAACAGCTAGCATGTGGGCCCAATCGATACTATTTGATTTTTAAAAAAGAAAAAAGAAATATAAAGACAGCCAAAGCCCAACAGCTCTCTCATCTAGTGCCAACACATGGCCCATGCCACAGACAAGCCCATCAGAATATGTAACCAGAGCGGGTCCCACAATTTTTCCGAAGCACATGGGCTCTGCCACCTCAGCATGGGCTCTAGTGAATAGTATTAGGTCAAGGCAATACTGGGACCCATATTTGGGTTTTCCCAAATTTTGGATTCATCATTTTCTTGGGTTGGGAGAGGTTTGGGGGGATATTTTGGGTTTAGGGCCATCTCTAATGCAAGGACTCAAACCCAAATTATTCCCCAAAATCTCTCCCAACCCAACAAAATGAAGGACCCAAAATTTGGGAAAACCCAAATTTGGACCCATTGCATGGACCCAATACTGTTTGCTGGACCCCACGCTGAGGTGGCTGAGGCCATGTGATTCTGAAAATTGGTGGGACCCGCGCTATTGACATTTTCTGATGGGTTTGTCTGCTGCCATGCCACGTGTCGGCGCCTGTTTTTGTAGCCATTGCAATTCAAATGGCTACTTTAAAAAAAGAAAAAAAAAAAAAACAGATCTGAAGTAACTTTAAAAAGGCTGGGCCCGCTGTTGGCTCATTCCAACCTTAAAAGTGCCGTTGCAAAGAACTATTCCCTTTTTTTTTTCTTTTCAAATTCTAATAGTAACTTTAAATTAACGATCTAGATTAAATCTAAGTTATTTTAACGGTAAAAAAAAAGATCCAACGGCTGAAATTTAAATTCAACGGTCAAAATAATATTTTAAATTAATCCAAATCAGATCCAACCCCAAAACTCACTCCAAACTCTATAAATACCCATCCATTTCTCAATTAATCTACCAAAAACATTATTTCTATTTCTCAATTTATTTTTCCTTTGTCAATCTCATCAATCTCCTTTAATTCTTGTTGAAGATGTCCACAAAACCTCAAAGAGGTGTGAATTGGAGGCCCGAAGAAGATGAGGCATTGTGCAAATGGTGGGTTTCTGTCAGTGAAGATGGGGCTATTGGCACCAATCAAGCAAGCGACACATTTTGGAAGCGTGTATATCACAAGTTTCTGGAAAATGATCCGGGCATTAGTGGACCCGAGCGACGAACATATCAAGCCATTGCTTCTCGGTTCAAGACTATCAACCAACAGTGTTCTCTTTGGAAGGCATGCTTGACTAAGGCCAATACGAACTCACAAAGTGGCTCAAATTTTCATGATGTGGTAAGTAACCATTCTTATTAAAGCTTTAAATTTATATTTGTAATTTTATTCAACTCCAAACTTAAATGTATTTTTTCATGTGTAGGATGTGTATGCAAAAACAATATTTCTTAATGATAATAAGCCTCCAAATAGGCATTTCAAGTTGTATCATGCTTGGGAAATCTTAAAAGATTGCCCAAAGTGGAACGATATAAATGAGCCTCCCGCACAAACCCAAGTATCCATGGCAAGGTCATCTTTTCCTTTATGTTTGATGATGATTCAGATGATGAAGAACATCATCAGAGAGTGATAGAAGTCATTGTCCACCATACTTCACAGGAGAATGAAGCCACCAAACATGGTGGGTCAATAGTCAGTCGTGTGTACAAGAATCGTGAGAGGGAAGATCGTCATCGCAATCTCATGTTTGACTACCGACTTTCATAGGCGGTTCCAAATGCGGAAAGAGTTGTTTTACCGCATCTTGAATGATGTTGTCAACCACGAGCCATACTTTTGCCAAAAAAAAAAAAGACGGGCTCGACCGACAAGGGCTATCCCCTTACCGTTGTCTTTCGTATGCTCGCATGAGGATGCTCAGCTGACGCGACCGACGAGTACTGTAGATTGGGTGAAAGCACATCTCTTAAGTCACTCCGTAAGTTTTGTTGCGCTGTTGAAGCCATGTATGGCCAATGGTACATCAGGTTTTCAAATCCAACTAACCTTTATAAGCTATTGCACAAGGCAAGCAGTCGAGGCTTCCCATGCATGTTAGGAAGTCTTGACTGCATGCACTTGGAATGAAAGTATTGCCCATCTTCTTGGGCAGGCCAGTTTACCGGTCAAAAAAAAAAAACCACCGTTGTGCTAGAGGCTGTGGCCTCGTATGACACATGGATATGACATGCCTTTTCTAGAGCCGCTGGATCCAATAATAATATCAACATTTTAGCTCATTCTCCATTGTTCAATGATGTGGTACATGGAATGGCTCTTCATGTTAAATATATTGTCAATGGAAATCAATACCATTTGGGCTCTTATTTGGCAGATGGAATCTACCCCCGTTGGGCTACATTGGTGAAGATCATATCTTCTCCTGATAACCCAAAGAATAGATTTTTTTGCACAAATGCAAGAAGCGTACATGAAGGATGTTGAAAAAGCATTTGGAATACTACAGGCTCAATGAGCTATTGTTCGGGGCCCTGCACGTATGTGGTGCAAGAATAACCTCCACTTAATCATGATGACGTGTATAATTTTGCACAACATGATTTTGGAAGATGAGTAGGAATATGTTGAAAAGGAATCTGATGATGAGGATATGTGTCCACAACGATCCAGGAGGGCTAGAGCAAGACAATATGAGCTGGAGCCAAGCAGTACATATGAGTACCACAAAGATAGGCAGACTCTCTCTGATTACATGATTCGTCATAATAGAGTTCGATCTCCACATGTGCATCAGAGTCTCCGACATGATTTGATCAATCACCTTTGGAGGAGCTTTGAGGATGGTGAATGAGGTCGACAATTGTTTCAATCCTCATTTTGTGTTTCAATTATGTTGTGTGTTTACTTTTGAAATAAAATAAAATTTATGGAATTTCAAATTTTTTTAGGTCAAATTGTTCAAAAAATTAAATTATGATGTTATTTAAAAAGATTAAATGAAGAAAAGTTATCCATAGTTTTTTTTATTAAAAAAAAAAAGACTTAAAACATTCTTAAACAATTTAATAAAGTTGCGGACTTAAAATTTGAGTCTGGAGGGTTGGGAGAAAAAATGATTTGAGTCCGGGCAAAAGCCAAATAGTTACTTTTTGGAGGGGGAAAATTTAGGTTTAGCCCCTCATGGGTTGGAGAAGGCCGGGGGCGGGGGAGGTGGAGGGGGGAGAGGGGGGGAAAGAGAGAGAACAAAACGCCATTCCAGCAACAAGTGCTGGCCCGGGCAGTGTGGGGTCCACTTGCTTGGGCTGGCCTGAAGGCGGAGGGAGCCTGAGTGCGTGGCTGACGTCATCGCTGATGCCAGCATGACATCAGCACATGGTTTTAAAAAATTTTTACCGTTGGCGCGTGCATCAGCGACGACGTCAGCACGCGGTTTTAAAAAAAATTTACCGTTGGCGCGTGCAATGCAAACGCCAACGTGAAAAAAAATTAAAAATCGCGCGTTAGCTTTTGCGCCCAACGGATATGTGCGACGTGGCGGCCTTTCATCCTTCCGATTTCGCCTTGTCAGCCAATCCGACGGCCTGGAATTTTTCCAGGCAAAAAATGATGAAAAAAAATCGTAAAAATTTGTAAAAAAATCCCAAAAAATACTGATTTTTTTTTTCTTTCTATAAATACCAATACCTACTCTTCAGTTTTAACAACAAATTCTCATACATCTCCTCCTTCTCCAACTATTATTCACTTTCTATTCAATATTTTCTTCACTTTTTACTCTAAATTGTTTTCATTTTCAAGTTTAATTTTTCTCTATCATTATGACTTTTTCTCAAAAAACTGGAGGGGCATGGAGCATCATGGAAGATGTCTTGTTGTGTGAGTGTTGGGTCCAAATTAGTCATGATCCCATATCGGGTAATGAGATGAAATTCAGTCAAATGTGGAAACAAATTCTTCACGAATTTGTTGAAAGATCGGGTTCCACACGTACGGAAAGCGCATTGTCAAGTCGGTGGAAACTTCTCAACAAAGAGTTAAATTTTGTTATTATTCTCAACAAAGCGAATTTGGTGTATTTAAATGTTTCTTGCAATTTTTATATTTTGTTATTATTTCTTGTATTTTGTTATTATACATATGGAAATACAAATAAAGGGAGTATCAACGCAAAGAAAATGAAGAGAAGAAGGATCGGGAAACCATGGCCATGGATACAAGCCACATGTCTTCTGAAACAAAACAATATTGGAAGCTAGAACGAAAGGCTATTATGAGACGAAGACTTTTTCGTGATGATGGACCTAGCAATACGGATTGGTTAAATGATGAAAACCCTTAAGTTAGTTTGCTTGCCTTTTCATTTCATTGTATTTTAATGTTTTGTTTTAAAAATTAGTTGGAATTCATGTATTTTATTGTATTAGTAGTATTGGTTTTCTTTGAGTTACCAAAGAAACTATTAAATAAAATTCCTTTTTATTCAAAACATTCAATACATAAAAAAACTAACCACAACCAAAGCATTAAAAATATAAAAACAAACAAACCACAACCAAAGCATAAAAAAAACAAACATAATTAAACATAAAACATAAACATTAAAATCTTAAAAATATTGGAAGCTAAAACAATATTGGAAGCTAGAATGAAATTTATATGAAATTGAAAATTTGAAATTTATCTGAAATTTGAAAAAAAAATTTATCTGAAATTTGAAACCGAAAATCTTATCTAAAAATCTTATCCGAATATTTTATCAGAAAATTTCATCCGAAAATATTGTCCAAATTAGTTGTTTAGGTAAACAAATTTGTGAAAAAAATAAAAAATTGAATAGTACCCCCCTTTGCCATGGCAACTGCTGGAACTTGAACTTACTATTTGCAAAGGCAGACACTATTCCCGTGAATAGTGTCAGCCTTAGGCCCCCCCTTTGCCATGGCAACATTCTCACTGCTGGAAGTGCCCTTACATGCTGACTAAACAACAAACTATGTGTTCAAATACCAAAAGCAAAAATAAGCAAAAAGAACTACTGGTTTTTCTCCACCACAATCTCAATCACGAATTTGTCAGGGGTTGATTATACACCACAAGGTTGCCGCTAGCCAGATTCATCAAAAGTTGCTGATATATTTGGTTTAAATCAGTTATTTCTAAGTCCCTAAAATTTTGTTGCGTTCCCTTTGATATGTAAGAAATCTACTTAAAATCAAAATGTGACCACTCTCCAAGCAACACTCTGTGTAACTAAAGGCTATCACCCGTATTGCCAACCATTACGAATTTCAAAAATAATTTATGGATATGCTCATGATATCCCTTTTACAGCCTTACTATTGGTTCCCTTATGAAGAGAGTAAAATAAAATAGATGATCCATTCAGAAATTTCAAAATAGTTCGTCCAAATGTAGGCAATCATGTAAACGAAACCATAAAAAGATAGAACTCAGAAAGAACTGACCTTCTTAACTTTACCATGAGCTGACATGATCTCATAGAACTTGCGCATCAGCATTTCTTCTTCTACCTGCAAATTGTACATCTAGAATCTTCAGTACCACAGTATATCAATACCATCTAGCATCTGCAGATTGTACATCATATTTTCCCATATGAACATACATGCATATTTTAATTTTAATTTTAGACTCAAGCACATGATCATAAAACTAACTGAGGAATTAAGGGACTACCTTCAACTGATGCAATTCTTCAGACATTGATATTTTGGCTTCCTTAAGGAGCTCACTTTGCTTCTCCAAATGCCTATAAACAGAAAATAAAACAAACAAAATTACAAAAACATGTAACTAATATTCATACAAAAAAAAAAAAAAAAAAATCAATTGAAAAGACTTACTTCAATATCTCTCCTGTGTATCTAGGGTCCATTAGAGTTAATAATCTGAAATCCTAGGCGCTAATGTGAGCTTAGGATGAAGATTGTGATTCAGGATCCTTTTGGTACGTCGGTCTCAACTGGGTTATATTATTGAACAGAAGTACTTTGGTGCGGTCCTGTAATCACCAATTAAGCAAAGAAAGAAAAACCTGAAACAGATTCAAACGAAAAGCAAAGTCAAAAGCAATGTTCGAAAAATCGCTAGGCGGTAGGAGCTGCACATATCAAAATTTGCAAAAACAAGAAACAAAACATGAGCTTTCGTCCAAAGTAATATGATTTGAACGAAAAAGAAAGAAAAAGAAAAAGATGGGAACTGCACATATCATCAAACTGTTTCCGTTGAAAGAGAAAACGAAGGGAACTCAGAATTTGCACCGACGAAAAAAATTACAAGTTTGTACGGAAACATCCATATCAGAATTTGCACAAAATAAATAAAAAAAAGTATACAAATTAATCATGTAAAATGGAAAATTTCCATGAAATCTGAAACTCACCAGCAGATGGCACCAATGCAACTCAACGGCGGCTCAAGAGGGTCGACGGCGACGCGGGGAACTCAACGACTGCGCAATTTCATCAGAATTAATCAGAGAGGACGCTTTGACGGTTGAGAGGGTTTTCGGCTGGCAAACTCAAAGCCTTTCTTTTTTGGACTGAAAAAGGGCCTCTTTTAACTCTTTACGGCTTCCAAATGCTTGGGCCCAAAACAAAAAGAAGGCTTATAAATGCACCCAACAAATTAATCAAACTACACCCAGCACCAAATTTTGATTCCAAAGTTTCACCCTGGGACTATTTTGGTATGTCGGATAGTACTGACTAATTTATGTAGGATAGTATTAATCTGTTCCAAAGAATACTGACTGTGTATCTATAATATTATAAGGTGTTTGATGTTGTTATGGATAAATAATCTGACTAAGTTCTAATGTGTTTGGTGCTCTGTTGGATAACATCGGATCGGACTATTTTTTTTAAAAAAATTCTTTAGTAATTTAAATAACATGAATTTTTTTGGTAAGATTCATATCACAATTGTTTTTTTTTTGGGGGGGCCAAATTATTGACAAATCATTTTAGTCATTAGATACATCCAACAGCTGCCTAATACTAAAACAAGAAACCTGAATCGAGAGCCAATTATACTGACCCATCAATTTAAAAATTAAAATAAGATTGAGAACCAAACTTGTTTGGTTGAGCTTTGAATTGAGACAACATAAATGGGAAAGAATGAATTTCAACATGAAGCAAAGCAACAAACTTGGGTGTTCGAAATTTGTTAAGGTCCAAAAAATCCACGGTCGGGCCCGAATAAATTATCGGCCCAAAATGACACTCTATCAAGGAAATGTGTAAAGCGGAGTACACAAAAACCCGCCACATGCGAGTTGCAATCCACATGTCATGCTAAATAAATAATTCGTCATGCTAGAATATATCGGCCATGCAAATCCATGCTAATTATCCCATCAAGCATAATAAAAAGCATGCCAGGCGATG